ACTGCTTAATTCTAACCAATAGGATCCTCCCGCCTTTAGGCTTAGGCATCTTTTTTTTACACCTTTTCTCTCTCACACACACACACACACGCACCTCACGAACAAGGACCATTATGATTTTTTTTATTTTTTTTATTTTTTTATTTATGTTTTCATTATTTGTTAGTATATTTTTAGTATATATTTTATTGAATTTTGTGGGGGGTCCATGAGCTAAATAACCAAATCCATGAACCAAAATATGTTCTAAAAAATATGCTCATTGATTTATGATAGGTAGCAATTTGTCTTGGTAGCATTCGAGAATACATAAAATTAAATTATAAATGTACTGCTCAATCCCGGAAAAATTTTAGTTTCGGTCTGTTTACTTGTCTGAAGTTCTTTTATTGGTACAATATCTTTCCCTTCATCGATAACATGACGTTATGTTGGAATTTGTATCATTTTGGGGACATTGCTCGTAAAAAAACAGTACGTTATGTTGCGATTTGTATCGTTTTTAGTACATTCATTCCAAAAAAAATAATGAACCATTCTCGCGATAATGTCTCAGTAGTGATAAAAATTGCAACACAACGTACTACATATTATTGATGCGGAGAAAGTTAGTGTACCAAAAAAGAACTTTAGAGAAGTAAACGGGCCAAAACTGATTTTATTTTATTTTTTTTTCCGAGATTGAGCAGTGCATTTGTAATTGAATTTTATGTATCGGCATACGACTGCCATTTTTAATTAGGGAGTGGATATCTCATCTCTCCCTTTATATTAATTTCAATCGTGTTGAGTCTAAGTGACAGATTCTTACTATTTGGATGCTGACATTGCGAAAATTTATGCTTCGTGATGTTGTTTTTATATTATTTTTGCTCAAGAGTTAGGTTTGGTATTAGATATAAAAAACTTTACACATATATTCATTAACTCAACACCCATGTTGTACATGTGTATTAGTACTAGTTTTATATATTCTTAAAATTTTGTCCTGCAAATTAATTTTCCATGTACCCAAAATTGTGAGCCATATTATATACTTTTGTCTATGCAAAATAAATAATGATAGCATTGATCAGAGTATTCACAAGCAGAGGAACAGAATAGACATCTTCATATATATAATTCTGGTCATGATATATATATATATATATATATATATATATATATATATAGAAGACCCACATTGGCCCCATTGTTTAATTTTGGAAACTATTATTCAATAATTTAAAGTAACCTGATAGTACTTTTCAAAACTATGCACATTATATATCTAACAGAGGCCCACTTCAAATTTCACTACTGTGATATCATCATCATATATATCACCTCTCAACTCTCTCTCTACACTCACAGTGAGATATCAAGAACACAAAAAATGGAAGGAAGCAGCTTGTGCGGCAAATCGAGGCAAGAAGGCGTTAGCGACAACCAGACGAGCGACAACCGAAGCACGAAACAATACAAATTCAAGGCGGGCTCGTTGTGGAACAATTACTCGGACGAGCACAGCAACAGTTTGGGAAGTTGGAAGGAAGGCGACGCTGTGGCCGCCGGGTTCTCGTGGCCCCCAAGAAGCTACACGTGCAGCTTCTGCAAGAGGGAGTTTAGATCCGCTCAGGCGCTCGGTGGCCACATGAACGTCCACAGGCGGGATAGGGCCAGGCTCCGGTTATCCCCGGCCACATTGTTAGATAACGGTAGAAGTAACGGTAACGGTAATAGAGTTATTATTGGCACGGGTTACAAAAGTTGTGTCTCGAGTGGGAGTGGTCAATTTTCTTTGGTTAACCTAAATCTTGATCGTCCTAACCCTAGCTTAAACTCAAACCCTAGTTTTGGTACCCCGCCCGATTTGCGGCCATCACTTTTCACACAGTTTACTTCCACGCGGGGGACCCCAATTTGTCCCTTAACGGCGAATGTTGTGGCCGGAATGAAGAGAGTCGATGAAGATCCGGAGGTACTTAAGAAAGGTGAGAAATTTGTTAGGTTGGACTTGGAAGTTGGTGTGGTTAGCCAAGCTGAGAAGGAGGATTTGGATTTAGAGCTTCGGCTCGGATATATTTAGGTTTCTTACTTAAGTATGTAATAAATTGTGGTTTATGAGTTGAATGGATAGTTAAGTAGCTGGTTTTATTTCTCTCTCTCTCTCTCTCTCTTTTATTTATTTTTTATTTTTTTATTTTTTTTTTGCTCGAAGCTAGTTTGTAAAATATTTAATAGTAGGAAGACAAAATTGTAATTTTAGACTTGTTGGTTTGATCGAGTGACGTTTTCAGTCCTAAAATTTGAACATATTTACTATTTAGTCCTATGATTTTAAAATTCAACGCAATTCCAATCATTTGAGACTGAATATACAATATTGCCTTTGAGTATCCTGTGAAATATTTGTGGAGAAGAAGGTGGGGAAATGAAGCTATTTACTGAATTGAAAATGGAATATTTGGAGCTCTTCATAGTTTAGGTGATTTATTAATAGTTGAATGTTATTATGTAGTCATTGTATGTTTTGGTTATGCCACTCATGAATTATTGTTCACATTTTTTATTTATGTTTGTGTTAATATTAATTAACTCATGTAGGTAGAACCCGATTTCTGTTATTGGTGGAAAATTATTATGCAATTTTCCAGCAACAAGATACACCACGATTTTGGCAAAATTGCAATTTTGGTCTTCTAACTCGACTAGTGTTCGAATTTGGTACGTCAATTTGTCTCACAGAAAATAGTTTGTTAGGTTGTTCGATTTCACTCTTTTGATACATTTATCCCGATAGTCTCTGTAATGTAACCTTCTAATATGACAAAATACAACTTGTGCGCTTGCGATGTGTCATGTGACATAGTAGTTCTCTAACTTGACAACTTGTTCAACTTTGGCCTATTAAATTGTACCAACTTTGACACTACAGGAAAATTACATGCATCATGATTTAAAAAAAAA